GATGAGCGTAAGTGTTTGATTTTTAGGAGCTCCCAGTTATCTAGTTTCTCTTCTGGTGTTTGTGCATTGTTAGTTATGGTTTGTATACTATTTATGCCATGTATTAGGGCTCCTAGCATTGTCCCTGTTTTTTCTTCCGTAATTGTTGTTATTTTAGATTTTATATTTAGGTCTTTGATCCATTTTGAGTTAGTTTTTGTGTATGGTATGCAGTATGGATCCTGTTTCATTTTTTTACAGATGGATATCCAGTTATGCCAGCACCATTTGTTGAAGAGACTGTCTTTTCCCCATTTAACGGACTTTGGGCCCTTGTCAAATATCAGCTGCTCATAGTGGATGGATTTATGTCTGGGTCCCCAATTCTGTTCCATTGGTCTATGTATCTGTTGTTGTACCAGTACCACGCTGTTTTGACTACCATGGTGGTATAATAGGTTCTAAAATTAGGTAGTGTGAAGCCTCCCACTTTGTCGTCGTTCTTCAGTAATGCTTTACTTATCTGGGACCTCTTCCTTTTCCATATGAAGTTGGTGATCTGTTTCTCCATCTCTTTAAAAAATGCCATTGGAATTTGGATTGGGATTGCATTGTATCTGTAGGTGGCTTTGGGTAGAATTGACATTTTCACAATGTTCAGTCTTCCTATCCATGAGCATGGTATGTTTTTTCCACTTATGTAGGTCTCTTGCAGTAGTGTTTTGTAGTTTTCTTTGTATAGGTCTTCTATGTCTCTGGTTAGATTTATTCCTAAATATTTTATCTTCTTGGGGGCTGTGGTAAATGGTATTGATTTGGTGATTTCCTTTTCAAAGTTCTCTTTGTTGGTGTAGAGAAATCCAACTGATTTTTATATCTTTATCTTGTATCTTGATACTTTGCTGAAGTCTTCTATTAGTTCCAGTAGTTTTCTTGTGGATTCTTTTGGGTTTTCTTTGTATAAGATCACATCATTTGTGAACAAGTATACTTTTACTTTTTCCTTAGTAATTTGGATGCCCTTTCTTTCTTTTTCTAGCCTTATGTCTCTGGCTAGGACCTCCAGCACAGTGTTGAATAAGAGTGGTGATAAAGGGCATCCGTGTCTGGTTCCTGTCCTCAGGGGGAATGCTTTCAGTCCATCTCTGTTCAGAATGATGTTGGCTGTTGGTTGTATATAAATGCCCTTTATTATGTTGAGAAATTTCCCTTCTATTCCTATATTGCTCTGAGTTTTTATTATGAATGGGTGTTGGACCTTATCAGATGCCTTTTCTGCATCAATTGATAAGATTATGTGGTTCTTATCTT